ATTGTACCAGAGGTCTAGCCAGCGAAATTAGATAGGAAAATTAAATAAAAGGCATCTAGATTGGAAAAAAAGAAGTAAAACCATCTCTACCTTTAGATCACATAATCTTATAAACAAAAAAAATCGTAAGAAATCCACTAAAAAGTATTAGAATTAATAAACATATCCAGCAAAATTGCATGATACAAGATAAATATAAATTCTATTGCATTTCTATACAGCTGCAATGAACAAATCAAAAATGAAATTAAGAAAACAAGTGCATTAATATTAGCACCAAAAAGAATAAATACTTGAGAATAAATTTAATAAAAGTGCAAAGTTTGTAATTTGAAAACTATAAAATTTTGTTGAAAAAAATTAAGACATAAATCAATGGAAAGACCTCCCATATTCATAGACTAGAAGGCTTAATATTGTTAAAAGGGCAATACTCCCCAAATTGATCTACAGATTTCATGTAGTTTCTTACAAAATTCAGCTTGCTTTTTTATAGAAATCAACAAACTGATTTAAAAATTTATATGGAAGGGCGCCTGGGTGGCTCAGTTGGTTAAGCGACTGCCTTCGGCTCAGGTCATGATCCTGGAGTCCCAGGATCGAGTCCCACATCGGGCTCCCTGCTCAGCGGGGGGTCTGCTTCTCCCTCTGACCCGCTTCCCTCTCGTGCTGTCTCTCATTCTCTCTCTCAAATAAATAAATAAAATCTTAAAAAAAAAAAATTTATAGGGAAATTCAAGGGTCCCAGAATAGCTAAAACGATCTTAAAAAAGAACATAGTTGGAAGACTAACACTTCCTGATTTCAAAACTATAGTAATGAAGACAGGGTGGTAATGGCATCAAGGGAGACCTATAGATTAATAAAACAGAACTGAAAATTCAGGGGAAAAATAAAAAAACAACCTCATACATTTATGACCAACTGATTTCTGACAAAGTTGCCAAGACCATTCAATGGTGAAAGAATAGTCTTTCCTCCCTGCTCAGTGGGGAGTCTGTTTCTCCCTCTCCCTTTGTGATTTCTCTCACTCTTGCTCTCTCTCAAATAATCAAAAAAAAAAAAAAAAGAAAGAAAGAATAGTCTTTTCAACAAATGGTGCTGGGACAACTGGATATCCACATGCTCCAGAATGAAGTTAGATCTCTTATCCCACACCATATATAAAAATTAACTCAAAATGAATCAAAAATCTAAATGAATGAGCTAAAACTATAAAATCCTTTTTTTTTAAGAGAGGAAGAGAGAGAGGTGGGGGAGGAGCAGAGGGAGAGGAAGAGAGATAATCTAAAGCAGGCTCCATGTGGAGACTGACATGGAGCTCAATCCCACAACCTTGAGATCATGACCTGAGCTGCAATCAGAGTCTGACACTTAACCAACTGAGCCACCCAGGCGCCCCAAACTATAAAATTCTTATATGAAATCTAGGTAACCCTGGATTAGGCAATAGTTTCTTAGATATTGTATCATAAACACTTTCATTTCAAGGTGGGTGCCCATGAGATATGAGAACATTATGTCCCCACAAAAACTTGTGCATGAATGTTCATAGTAGCATTATTCCTAATAGCCAAAGAGAAAAACAAATCAAATGTTCATCAACTGATGAATGGAAACTAAATATGTTCTATTCATGCAATGGAATGTTCTTCAGCAATAAATAGAAATGAAGTACTGATACATGTTATAACACAGGTGAACTTTGAATACATTATGCTAAATGAAAGAAGTTAGTCACAAAAGACCCCATATTATATTATTGCATTTCTATGAACTATCCAGAGTGCCCAAAACCATAGAGGCAGAAAGGAGATTGGTGGTGGCTTAGAGCTGGGGAAAGGGGTAGTTGGGTGGAAATGGAGAATGATTGCTAATGAATATGGGGTTTCTGTTTGAGGTGATAAAATATTTTCTAAATTTGACTGTGCTGATGGTTGCACAACTCTGTGAATACACTAAAAACCATTAAATTGCACATTTTAAATGGCTGTGCTCTATGATACATGAATTATATATCAATAATGAGATTATTATTAAAAAAAGGGAAAAAAGAAACCCTTCAAGATTCCAGAAGGAAAAAGATGATGGCATATATCAGGGCTGTGACAGTGGGATGAAGAGATAGATTTGAGATGAGTTTAGTTGTTAAAATGAACAGGACTTGATGATTTGGTTGATTGGTTAGGAGGGTTAATTTGATTTTAGTAACTCAAATTTAAGAGTATTTCTTTGAGAGCTTTTGTGGTAAGCCATAGCAGTGAAGTTAGGTCATCAGTGGCTCCTCCCCCCAAGCCTAATGAAATAAACCAAAACAGTGCAAAACTAGCTCTCAGAGGAAGAGGAACTGCTCTAGCCTGGGATAAGTCCTCAGCTACATTGTAACAGTAAAGCTGCACCAGTTGTTAAAATATTGAAATACTTGGTCAGTAAATAGCTGCTGCCTGGAGCCCAATGGGAGGCTCCATCACCGGGCTTGATCCCAGGACCCTGAGATCATGACCTGAGCTGCATGCAGATGCTTGACTGAGCCACCCAGGCGCCCCCATGTATGTGTTTTTTTTAAGGAAGAGTTTATGTGCATAGAAAAAGTCTGAAAGCATACAAAAGAAAATGTTAATAGCAGTTGCCTACAGGGTGCAAATTCTCACAGGAGATGGGAAAAGATTTTAGAGGGTATTTCTTTTCACTTTACAGTCTTTGGTACTTTGCACATTTTAGTCATAAGTGCATTTTTTTGTAATATGAAAAATTCCCTTAAAATGAAATTTTAATAAATTATCTTGAATGACTTACAGCTTACAAAGAATACTCATTTTGAATTCTTAATCTCAGGAAACAAACTGAGGGTTGCTGGAGTGGTAGGGGGTGGGAGGGATGCGGTGGCTGGGTGATAGACATTGGGGAGGGTATGTGCTATGGTGAGTGCTGTGAATTGTGTAAGACTGATGAATCACAGACCTGTACCCCGAAACAAATAATACATTATATGTTTAAAAAAAAAAAAGAAGATAGTAGGAAGGGAAAATTGGAAGGACTATGGACTCTGAGAAACAAACTGAGGGTTTTAGAGGGGAGGGGGGTGGGGGGATGGGTTAGCCTAGTGGGTGATGGGTATTAAGGAGGGCATGTATTGAATGGAGCACTGGGTGTTATACACAAACAATGAATCATGGAACACTACATCAAAAACTAATGATGTACAGTATGGTGACTAACATAATAAAATAAGAAAAAAAAAAAGATTATTACCCTCCAAAAAAAAGAATACTCATTTTATCCTCTTATCAACCCTGTGGATATAAACAGCAGGTATTCTCTTTATATTACACATAAGAATATAGTTACATTCTTCCTTAATACAGCTCATACATTATAATAAAAGCATGGCATATCTATAATTATGGTTTTCCTCATTCATTCAACAAATATTTATTGAGCATTTATTATGTACTGTTCTAATAGTGGCTAGGCACTATACCTTAGAGATTATAGTAGTGAACAAAATAGAGAAGTTTTCCACTGTCATGAAACTTATATTCTTTTTTTTTTTTTAAGATTTTATTTATTTATTTGAGAGAGAGAATGAGGTAGAGAGAGCATGAGAGGGGGGAGGGTCAGAGGGAGAAGCAGACTCCCCGCTGAGCAGGGAGCCCGATACGGGACTCGATCCCAGGACTCCAGGATCATTTTTTTTTTTTTTTAAAGATTTTATTTATTTATTTGACAGAGAAAGACACAGCGAGAGAGGGAACACAAACGGGGAGTGGGAGAGGGAGAAGCAGACTCCCTGCCGAGCAGGGAGCCCGATGCGGGACTCGATCCCGGGACTCCAGGATCATGACCTGAGCCGAAGGCAGTCGCTTAACCAACTGAGCCACCCAGGCGCCCAGGACTCCAGGATCATGACCTGAGCCGAAGGCAGTTGCTTAACCAACTGAGCCACCCAGGCGCCCTATTCTTATTTTTTTTAAGATTTTATTTTTTTATTTATTTGAGAGAGAGGGAGCATGAGCGTGGGGGGGAGGGGAAGAGCAGAGGGAGCAGGACAAGCAGACTCCGTGCTGAGTGTAGAGCTGGATGTGGGGCTCCATCCCACAACCCTGAGATCACGACCCGAGCTCAAGAGTCAGTTGCTCAACCGAGTGAGCCACCCAGGCACCCCGAAACTTATATTTTTATTGAGTGAAGAAAGAAATCAGATCAGAAACAAGGACATCAGTTTAATATTATGCACAGCTTTAGAGTGGACTAAGATGGATAATATGACTTTTAAGAGGTAACATTTGAAATCAATGACAAAATGGAGTGATACGAAGACCAGTGGGTAAGTAGTCTAGGCAGAGGGAACGTCAATGCCAATTCTCTAAAGTGGGAATGAGTTTGGCATCTTCAGGGAACCACTGGGGTAAGGAGGAGGAGGCAAGTACTACATGAGGGAGTAGTTAGGCAGGTTTCAGATCATGTAGGATTTCTTAAGTGATAGTAAGGAGTTTAAGAAGTTTGGATTTAATTTTAAGTAAAGTGGGAAGCATTTGGAAAGCTTTAAAGAGAAATGGCTTGATCTTATTTAGAGAAGTAAGAGAGGACACAGGGAGATCAGTTAGGAATCTATTATTGTAGTAGAGGCAAAAGATGATAGAACTGTGGACTAGGGTGTTGGCTGTGGAGATGGAAATTAGTGCTCAGATTCAGGCTATGTTTTGGAGGTTGAGTTTTTGGGACTTGCTGATGGAGTACATGAGGGAGGGTGAAGAGAGAGAGCAACGAAGAATTAAAATGAAAATTTGTGTCTTGAGCAACCTGATGGACCTTGGGGCTCTTTTCTGAGAGGAAAGACTAGGCGAGGGAGAATCAAGAATTTTATTTTTTGGCCACGTTATGTTTAAACTGCCTATTGGATATCCAAGAGATGTCCAGCAAAGAGCTGAATACATATTTCCCAATTTCCCAGAAGGGTCAGAATGGGAATGACAGGGATACAGCCAGATTGAGGTTACCTGGAGAAGTGTGTGGATACAGAGAGAGGGAAGGGCCAGTACAGCATCCTGGGGCAAGCCGATGTCTAGAAATCACATACAGGAGGACCAGCCAAGAAGCAGCACCTAGTGAGGAAGGAGAAAAAACAATCAAGTGAGGCTCAACTGAAGGCAAGACAGTAAAGCAGCTTCACGGAGGTAGAATGCTGCTGGCCAGTGGAGTAAGATGAATACTGAGAAGAAACAATTAGCTTTGTTAACATGCAGATCACTAGTGTCCTCGAAAGAGCCTTTCAGAGGAGGGAGGGGTGAGCAAGTCAGCCAACTGGAGTGAGTTTAGGAGAGAATGTGAGGTGAGGAGACGTAATGGCAACCACTATCGTTTGACTAATACTTTCTAGAGACAGTGCACATTTTGGCTTGCATTTGCATTTACAAATGCTTGAGAGAAAAAAATCTCAAATATTTGTTATAAGCCTATGTGTTTTGTTCCCATGTTAAATTTCAGATCTCACATCTCTATAACTACTACATTTAAAAACAAACTGAGGGGCAACATACATCCTAAAGTGCATAAAGTGCACTAATCTCAACATGTACAGCTTGATGGTTTTTTTTTTTTTTTAAGATTTTATTTATTTGACAGAGGGAACACAAGCAGAGGGAGAGAGAGGGAGAAGCAGGCTTCCCACTGAGCAGGGAGCCCGATTCGGGGCTCGATCCCAGGACCCGAGGATCATGACCCGGGCGGAAGGCAGCCGCTTAATCGACTGAGCCACCCAGGCGTCCCTTGATGGTTTTTTTATATGTGTACTCTCGTGTAACCAACTGTTCAGACCAAGATAAAGAATGTGAAAAGCATCCCTTAAGGTTCCCTTGTGCACCTTTCCAGTCTATAATCCCCCATTAGTAAACCAATATTCTGATTTACATAAACATTCATTAGCTTTACTGCAAAAATTTTCAAAACAAACAAATGAAAACTAAAGGGCAGTTAACTGGAAATTGCTTTTGTGTAAACTTACCAATTGGCCTAAGTATGAATACCAATTATTTGGCGCCAAAATTCTGAAGCAATTTTGAAGCCAGTCATCTCCGAAGCCCCGCTCCACTTCCTTCGCCACGCCTCCTGTTTGCTCTTCTCCTTCCCAAAAGTCCTGGGGCTCACCAGGCGGTGGGAAGAGACCGCTTTTCTGTCATGCGCACTAGGGATAGGCGCGCTTCCCTCTTTTCAACAAACCAACTCACTAGGACCCGGCCTCGTCATGCGCATTGAGAGTTCCCAGGAGCGCGCGGTGAGGCGCATGAGCAGATAAGCTCGCGAGGGCGGAAGTGAGCAGCGGCTGCGCGGAGGTTGGGGCCGCCGCGCTTGCTGTGGGGTGGGCAAGCTGCAGAAATGACGCCCCCCGGGAGTCGCGTGGTTCCAGTGGCAGTGTTGCTGCTTTTGCTTTGGGGGGCTCCCTGGACCCACGGGCGGCGGAGCGACGTGCGCATCATCACGGACGAGAACTGGAAAGAGTTGCTGGAAGGAGAGTGGATGATAGAATTGTGAGTGTGGGGGGCGGTTGTCTCGGGTCCCCTCGGTGGGCCGGAAAGTCCGTGTCCTAGATCCAAGTCTGGACACCCGACTTCACCTCCATTCACCACCTCCTGCGGGTTCCAGGTTCGCCAGTACTCCACTCCGAGCCGTGGAGCCGGCGCCCCTGGCTCCTCGGGATCCCTAAACTCTTCGGATCAGCTTGGTCCCACCCCCTCCTCGTTTCTTATCGGGAAATACTAAGTTTCTTCTAAAGTGTGTACCCCCAGTTTCGTTTCTAGAGCTGTGGTGCTCCTAAGAGACGGCGTTCAACTTGGAATTCTCTCAACTTTTCATGACTTTGGGGCTGGAGGGTGTTCGTCTGACTAGTTTCTATACGTTATCTATAATAGAATGATCTTTCACAAACTTCTAGACTTACTTTTCACCAAATTTTACAAAGCAGGAAATTGAGCAGAACCTCACTTCTCCTTTGGTCTAATTATCCTTTAACAGTCCACTTACAGTGTTGGAATTTGAGACTCTTTTATTTTATGGACTGGGTATATTTTTATTTTAGGTGCTGAGTAAATTCAAGTTGGGTTATTGTTAAATTTTCTTTATCTTTTTTTTTTCTTTTCTCTTTCTATGCATCTCAGTTTTCCTTTGGATGTGTGTTTTTGCCAAGTACTGAGTATCTTCGATTGTTACTCTTACATTCAAGTGTTATTGCATTAAAAAATAAAATTAATGTATGATTGTGATTATAAACTCTGAAGACCACCGGGTCATCATTTACTCGTCAGAGGAAATCATATGTCTGTGGTGATTCTGTTATAATGTCTCTTCTGCATGGGTAGAAAATAAACTGCCAGCCTTTGCTTTAGTTGCTAAATTGGTGGTGGTGGTGATGATGGTTGTAGTACTATTGATAATAGTAGGGTTAGTGGTATTAGTAACAAACACCACTATTGAGTGTTAACTGTACTAAACACTGCTAAGCACTTTATATACACTATCCTATTTAATTCTCTACAAATTTTGTAAGATGGGTATTACTTCCCGCATTTTACAAGTGAGAGAAATACCTAAAGGCTTTAATTAATCTGACCTGGTATTGCTATACCGGCTTCCTTTCCGTTTTCGAAGCCTAAGAGTAGGTATGCAATAATTGTTAGAACAGCCCCCTTCTTTAACAGAGTTCGGGTGAGTGTTTTCCTGTGTGCTTGGGTTACCAGTTAATGGATGGAGGTGGATGTCCCTAAAGGAGAGCTCAGAAGGCCAAATCAATAACTCTTGAGTCATAAAATTAAAAAAGGCATAGAATATTTATATGGAGGAAAAGATAGGGGAAAATGTTTATGTAGTATACATATAATCTGTAACTTAGTGAAATGAATTTTCAGGCACTATTGAAGCTATGCAGGGGAGAGGAGATATAACCAGAGACAACATTTGGTTTTTATTGTCATGAATAACTTGTTTTAGATTGTGCCAGTAAAATATTCACAGTTTCATGAGTATTAAACAATAGTGATTATGAATTTATATGCAAAATACAGTCAAGTAATACTTAGGAGTTTTTTTTTAAACTCGTTTGATCAAACTGTAAAAATACAATGGTCAAAAATTTATTAGGGGATTTGAATTAGAACTTCTCTGTGAAATTAGAATATACTGTAGTACTTTTTCCTTTAGCTTACTGAGTTTGAGGTTAAGACTTAAAAAGCGCCTAAGAAACAAAAGGAACTTGAAAAGGGGATCTAGTACTAGTCTTAATGATAGTCTGCTCTTGTTACAAGTCTGTTATATGCATTACATCCATCCTGATCAGTTTTGTTACAGAGATATTTTCATTGAAATACAATCTCTTGTTAAGGACTTTTCCCTTTTATGTATGGTACTAGTCTTGTTCCACAGTGCCACTTACTTTTAGGAGTTCTATTTTCATAAAATAAGTTCAAATATAATGAAATGTAGAAACTGTACTCTTGTGTTCAAGTACACGCTTTATTCTTCTTGGTTTCATTAAAAAAAAAATGAGGCAAATTAAAAGACGATATGCAATAAAGCGAAGAATAAAATCCTAGGGAGAAGTCAGGGCCTTGAAAGATGCAGAATATCAGAGGAGTAATTAAAAAGCTAATAAACTTACCCATAGATTTGTAAACCTGAGGTCTTAGAAACTGGCTGACCAAGGGCTGGCCAGAGGAATTTTGTTTGGCTTGCCTAATGTTTGTGTCTGGGTTAACTTTTGAGGTAACATTTTTACATAAAAATGCAGATTTTCAGCTTTTAAATAAGATAGAGCCTGCTTCCTAGCTGTAAATCCCTTCCTGGTGGTCTTGCTGAGTGATTGATGGTGCCCCTCTTAAGCAGGGGCATGCATTTCCTTGTTCACCTCAGCCATGGGCACTTCCTATTTTTCTCATTTGTGACTCATGTAGTGCAAAGTATTAAAACTGGTGAACTCCAAATTTGGTTTTGAGGTTTCTGGTTGCCACATATTTGGGGAGAAATTCAAATTTTTTTTTTTTAAGACTTTATTTTTTGAGAGAAAGCGCACATGTGGGGGAAGGGGCAGAGGGAGAAGCCAACTCCCCGCTGCTGAGCAGGGAGCCTGACTCGGGGCTCCTTCTTAGGACCCTGGGATGACCTGAGCCGAAGACAGATGCTTAACCGACTGAGCCACCCAGGCACCCTGAGAAATTCAAAGGTTTTTAAAGAGCCGTTTTGCATGTGAACTTATGAACTTATTTTTGTGTCTTAAGAACTTATTTCAGAATTACTTTTCTGTGATCAGCGTTATCAGTTAGTTTTGATTTCCAGAACGTTAGACCCACAGTTAAAACTTTTTCATCTTCACAAAATTAATCATTTTGCTGTTTTGTTTTTAGTATAAAATATTCTTCATAAATTATACACTTAGAATTTTTATCTCCATATGGTCATATTAGATTGCTTAACTTTTTTTATACTCTGTTTCTTAGTTATGCTCCATGGTGTCCTGCTTGTCAGAATCTTCAACCAGAATGGGAAAGTTTTGCTGAATGGGGAGAAGATCTTGAGGTTAATGTTGCAAAAGTAGATGTCACAGAGCAGCCAGGTACTGTAAGTCTGTGGTTAGTCTTTGCAGATTGGGTTCATATGTTCATCCTGTTTGCCACATCACTTGGTCTTAACTACCTTTTATTAGGTTTTGAAAACATAACTGTCTGTAGTACTTAAGCTGACTCACCCACCTCTCTGATGAGGGATCCTTGTGCAGTGGCTGCAGAAAGCAGATTCTGTGGTTGTATATGCAACTCATTCCTTTTATGTGTGGCTCTAAGGGACCTTGGAGACATTGCCCTCTCCCCATTCTTGCCCGTTTAACTGCCTCTGATCTTTTTTTTCCTTTGTATCCCAGGCCCCAGAATAGTGTGTAAGATGCCTTTGAGAAGTCCTAGAATACTGTGGTTTAGGTGGACATTGGAAAAACCATCATTTGCATCCATACCAAGCTTCAGAATAAGGAGCATGTGGTTGAAGTTTTTTGTAGAGCCAAGGGCACATTCCCTGACCAGCGATCCGAATCTCTTAATTGGGTTTCAAATTTAATATCTGTGATTTGAGGACATGCTTTTAATACAAAGACCTCAAGGTTGTGGGGTCAAATATACTCCTGACTTGGCCCCCTGAATAAGTGGCAGGCTCTGTTCTTAAGAATGCTCCTTTCTTAGACCAGCCTCATCTTAAGTGTTCTTGGTCACAATAAACCTGGATTTGTTGACTCCGTTCCCACCCCAGATGGTAATAATAGCTAATATTTATTGAATGCTTACCTAGTACAGATATTGCTCCAAGTGTTTTGCATTTATCCTATACAACCTTGTGAGGTAATATCCCCATTTTACAGATAAGAAAACTGAGGCATAGAGAGATTAATCCTTAGTTATATTATTGCCTAACACATGGTTAATAATGTTATTGTTATTGCTCATCTTACGAAAGGTTCAAAATATTTTCCATTTTAACAACATGTTAGACTCTGCCTTTGTTTTTTGAATGTCAAATGCAATTTCATTTGATTTTAGACCTTTCTAAAACTACTGTTATATTGTGCTGCCCCATTACTCATCTTATCATACAGTGGTATAATTGATCAAATGTTAATACATATATATTCACAGATATCTTCAGTATTCAAGCTTTTACGTACTTTTAGTTGAGATAATGTGCAATAGTGTTTATTTATTAATTTTATTTTACTATGTTATGTTAATCACCATACATTACATCATTAGTTTTTGATGTAGTGTTCCATGATTCATTGTTTGCATATAACACCCAGTGCTCCATTCAATACATGCCGTCTTTAATACCCATCACCAGGCTAACCCATCCTCCCACCCCCTTCCCCTCTAGAACCCTCAGTTTATTTCTCAGAGTCCATAGTCTCTCATGGTTCGTCTCCCCCTCTGATTTCCACCCCCCTTCATTTTTCCCTTCCTACTAAGTGTTGATTTTTTAAAGTTGCTTTCAGTACATAATTGGGATTTTTTTTTTATTGTTTGTTACAAAGCTCAGCCATTTTTAGGTATAATTTCATATGCTTTCCCAGTTAGTATTTAAATACAGAATCAACTTTTAAGTAGTGATTGTTGGCTTATATAAAACCTGTTGTGTGTTCTTTCTTGTATTTATTTCTAATCTTTTATCATTTTTAGGGCTGAGTGGACGATTTATCATAACTGCTCTTCCTACTATTTATCAGTAAGTATTTGAAGATTCTGTAATTATGGAGAAGGATGCAACATAGTATAATCAGAATAGTAGACCTCTGGCCTGGGTCATGTTTAAAGAGCATTATATTCAGTAAGGCTCATTTTGCTCTTAGCACTATCCTAGGTGTCTTTAGGTAGATGGTTTAGGTATAAAACAGTCCCTGGTTGGGGTTCCTGGTGGCTCAGTCATTAAGCGTCTGCCTTGAGCCCAGGTCATGATCTCAGGGTCCTGGGATTGAGCCCCGCATCAGGCTCTCTGCTCCGCGGGAGGCCTGCTTCTCCCTCTCCCACTCCCTCTGCTTGTGTTCTCTCTCTCACTGTGTCTCTCTGTCAAATAAATAAATAAAATCTTTAGAAAAAAAATGAAAAATAAAACAGTCCCTGGTCTCAGAGCTTTGTAATTATTTTGGAGGGTGGTGTTCACATGAAATCGTGTGAAGCCATATAGCATTGTAAATGATTATGAGCCCAGAGTTGTTAAGTCCTGTAGAAAGTTTGGTAAGGGAAAAATCACTGGGCGAGTAGGGTGGTTCCTGGAGAATATGGGGATGAAAATGCAACCCTGAATTTTCAAAAGAGTGCAGAAGTAAGCATTCCATCCTTTCAATAATCTCATGAACAGTCATAAATAGGGAAATTGTATGTTCAAAAATGAACTAAGAAAGGGCTATAGCTCAGTCTTCGGACAGTAGTAGGTGAAATGATTGAGTGCTAAGTCAGAATGAGCAAGATTATGTAGTCTTCAGTATCAGGTCTTTTAGTTTGAATTTATCTTCTAAATTGGGGATAGGAAGTCTCAAATCTGTACAGGCATACCTCATTTTATTGTGCTTCCCAGATATTACAGCTTTTTACAGATTAAAGGCTTGTGGCAACCTTGTGTCAAGCGAATCTATCCACCATTTTTCCAACAGCATTTGCTCACTCTGTCTCTGTGTCACATTTTGGTAATTCTTGCAGTATTTCAAACTTTTTCATTACTCTGTTTCTTATGGTGGCCCATAATAAGTGATTACAATTTGCTGAAAGCTCAGATGATGGTTTACATTTTTTAGCAATAAAATATTTTTAAATGAAGGTATGTACATTTTTTTTTAGACATAATACTATTGCATAGCATTAATAGACTATAGTATAGTAAATATTTATATGTACTTGGAAACCAAAAAGTCTTGTGACTTTATTGTGATAATTGTTTTACTGGGGTGGTACTGTGATATCTCCGAGGTATTGCCTGTACCTGCCCGATACCTTAAAGTTCGTCTAGTTGGTGGGTTGAATGCCAGGAGGTACTTCTCATTTAAAGTATAAAAGCAAGCTGGCAATTTTTTGTGTGTCTGTATCTCACTTTTCTTTGTCATTTTTCTTTTTCATGTTTATGTCTGTTTCCCTCTACCTTTGTATTCATCCCTACTCCCTTTGTGTCTTTTCATGTCACCATAAGTACTACTGTCCCTTTTCACTCAATCCTTTTCTCCACATGTCCCTTAACTGGTTCTGATTGTGTCTCTCATCTTCCTTCTCACTTCTTAACATCCCTTAAACTTACCTGGAATTTCCTGTGCTTTTTTAACTCACGTTGTTTATGCCCATTCTTTTGCCTGTTGAACTTCTACCTATTCTTCAAAAACAGCTCAAATGCCATTGCCTTTACAAAACATTTTTTTGAGTGGGGGCTTCCTTGTGGTCTTTGGCTCTGGATGGCTAAAGGATCCTCTAACCCTACTGTAGGTAGTAGGGAGCTCTTGAAAGTTTGCACTTAAGAGATAAAAATAGAAGTATTGTATAGGATTAGACTGGCAGTGTTATTGAGGGCAGTTTGAAAATAGTGAAGATGTGGGAGGAGAAAGAGAATTTTTGAACCTATGAGAACTCCATACATTGGGAATGGGAGGGAGGGAGGGGCCTATCAGGAAGAATGCAAAGTAGACTGTAAAATACAATCACTGAAATAGGAGGAAAGGAAATATGACCAGATACCTCCGGCAATTTAAAGTAGCATGGCTAAGATGATGTGATTAGTGCTGAAAATTCCAGAAAAATGCCTTTAATTTTTAACCTAGATAGCTTAAAAGTAGCTAATAATTAATAAGTGCCAGACACTATTCTAACTTTACATATAGTCATTCTTTTAATATGTTCATTACACATTTATTGAGATATATGTTCATTACGTATTTATTGAGATATAATTGACATATAACTTCTTTGTGTCATTGTTTTACTATTTGGAAAGATAATAATAGTCTTAAGGCTTATTATTGTTTATAACCCCATTGTTTAAATAAATTTGGAGCTAAGATGTTATGAGTAGGCAATTAGTATAATTTGTTACTTGTGCATTACTAATGATTTTGAATATAAGGATTGATTGTAAAATGAGGTTAAAGAAATAGCAAAACAAATACAAATTTATTTGGTTCTGTTTAATAATGTGATTCTGATCCTCTTTAGTTGTAAAGATGGTGAATTTAGGCGCTATCAGGGCCCAAGGACTAAGAAGGACTTCATAAACTTTATAAGTGAGAAAGAGTGGAAGAGTATTGAACCTGTTTCATCATGGTTTGGTCCAGGTTCTGTTCTGTAAGTATGAGGATTTTTCTTTTATTTATTTCAGAATTAACTGGACCAATTATATTTTGTGGAAATAAAGCATTTATGTAGACCCTTAAGGTACATTCATATTTACTGTGATATTTTTAGCTTGACTTTTTCTTCTAAGTCAGATGCTTTGATCCTTGTTAAGCTAGAAGGAGGCATTCACTAGAATTGAAAGCCTTTTCAGGAATATTTTAGCTCCGTAGATCATGGTCATTTCATATCAAAAACTAATCAGTCTTACTGAGCAATATGATGGGTAAAGTTATCATTTGAGCTTAATATTTGAATGAGAAACCTCAAACATACACCTCCTCTTGCTACTTTAGATTTCAGTTCTTAATGTGATTAAATTATTCTACCCATCTGATAGTATTTTGGTTGAATAGTATGGATGAACGGTACCCTTAATGGCATGAGTAACCACTGGACTTTATATATAGCTAGATATATGGAGTAGTAAGGGTTGGAGATAGCATATTTCCTGCTAGCTGTTGGGGTGTAAGGCCTCATAGGTCATTTGAGAGACATCTAGAAATACTGAGTTTTGCTGAGGTCCCCATGGACTCATCCTGGTGTGGCTAAGCTATCTCTTCCTGTCTCCTCACCACACTTGCTCTTGGTATACACACCAAGATCTACCAATGGTATATACACACCAATGGTATAAGAGATAAAAATATAAAGAGATATGAAAATATAAAAAGATATACCAATAGTATATACACACCAATGCTGTAAGAGATAAAAATGCTCTGGGTTCTGGGAGTGGAGGAAAGATCAGCCATAAGCGATATTTTGAAATAGAATTTTGTCTTCAGCACCTTTCCCTTACACCTCTCTTCCTGTGAAAATCTCTGAATTGAATTGTCCTGTAGCTGTCAGAATTCCCTCTACTGAACCACCGTGCCAACCCAGTTAAGGCACCTGATCTTCCTGATAGAGCCTAATTAGTGCTGATTGTAGTGAGGCTCTACGGTGCTTTATGTTTCAGTTCTTGTTCCTATTCCCGTTTTGCAATTTAAACAACAGAAACAACATGATTGAACCACCTTTCTGTGTTCAACTGAAAATGCAACTGATTTTTGTTAATTTGAAATCTCATAAATGACTTCTCCCCTCTCCAGTAGAAGGGGTTGCTTGTAAGACTTTGTTCAGAGACTCCTCAGGGATTCAGCAGTCCATGCCTTTTGTGTTGTGGACTGAATAAGAGGTACTTCCAGTGTCAGTGTGTTCACCCACCCGATGATGGGCAACAGATGGGTCATCCTGCCTACAGGAACTTTGGCTTACGTGTGAATTAGTTTTATGTGTTGGTGGCAACACTTGCTCTAGAGGGGAAACAGTTCGGAACCCACAAACCGTTTTTAGTTCTGGAGCATGCCTTTTTCTAACTTTCCATCTAAACTATTTGGGTTTATGTGAAAATAATAATAATTTTTATTTATATTATTACTTAGCATTGATTTTCAATGTAATTTCTTTGTATATCATTAAACTATATCAAGCTAATGCTATGATAAGTTTTATTTAATTTTAACACAAAAGGTGGGTAATTCTTAGGTGGGAAGGATCAGTTCAGCAAGTGCTCCCAGTTCTTCCTTCAGGCTCCCTTCTCTGCTCATTCTTTGGAGAATTTTAAGTGTCAATAAGAGTTGCCATTTGCTTACAGTACACTTGACTTTAACTGGTTCCATAGAGCTCGTAAGCTGTTAATCAGAGTATATTGGAGAAATCATCAGGTGAAAGGTGAAAGGCTAATGGCAAAGCAGTAGGGACAAGGAAAAAAGTTATCAAGTGTTTTATTTATGAGGACATCACATAGTGACAGCAATTCAAGAACTGTTAATTTTCATTAATGAGCCTTCTTAATATAGGCTTGAAATCAGTGATGTATCACTAATCTTGATTAACACCAGCAATAAAATCTGTCATGTTGGGGAAATTGTAGACTGAAAACTAGAAGGTATAGATAGACACACATTCTACTTCAAAGCTGTGTGTCTTACTCAGTTTCTCAGTCCTCTCTCCTTTCTTTCAGGATGAGTAGTATGTCTGCACTCTTTCAGCTATCTATGTGGATCCGGGTATGGACTAAAGTTTTATTTCTATTTTAAACATTTTTGACACTACCCTTTTATTTTAAACAACCAGATTTTTTATTTATTTTTTCTTTTGATTTTAGACTTGCCATAACTATTTTATTGAAGACCTTGGATTACCAGTTTGGGGATCATATGCAGTTTTTGCTTTAGCAACTCTGCTTTCAGGACTATTACTAGGACTCGTAAGTATTTCATTTTTCAGAGTACTAGGAGAAAACCTTTTACGTCTGGTAATTTAATATAGTTACACGAGCTCAATCATATACGTTCAGATTTCTTGTGTTTATTTTTGCAGTGTATGATATTTGTGGCAGATTGCCTTTTTCCTTCAAAAAGGCGCAGACCACAGCCATACCCTTCCAGTAAGTATATTTTTTAGTATTTATTTTTTATTTTTTTGTTCACTGTAATTGTTCATTTCTGTGAACACAATCACACCTGTAACAGGTTGCCCTTCCAGCTTAGCTTTCTAAATGTGGAATGGTAGGTTATATTGGAAGTGGCAGGGGGATATTTATTTCATGTAAGAATGACAGCCTGGTGGATTTTGGAACATAGTTATTTTCTTGGGTTTTATAATGTAGAGAATTTTAACATTGCATATAACTTGTCGATATTTAATGACATTGATCTGATGTCATTTTATTTGAACCATCATATTCCTGGATCCATTTGAGTATACTTGAATCAGAAGAAGTTGAATATATTCTACTCTTGAAGTCATTCTTTATTATAGTGATCACATTTGAAGATTTTTCTTTGTATGCTAGCCAAGTCTAAGTTTTTATGGTAGGGTATTGGGAACAGTAATTCTCGTAGCTGATTTAGGAGTGGCATTGACACTGGATTACAAGATGAGTTTATATAATTAGAAGTATTCACTGATGTCTGTCTTAGTATAATTGCCTCTCAAACATGCATTTAATCTTGAAAATTACGGTGTTATGGAAGCCTTCCTATTTGCTGTTTATAAAGAACTTTCACTTTGTGCCATCCCATTCACTTTTCCGTAACTCTAGATTTCATAAGTGATACTCTTTCCATTTTGTGGTTGAGGAAAATAAGGCTCAGAGAGATGAATTATTTTTCCAGGGTCACACAGAAGTGACAGAGTGGAAAATAGAGCCTAAATTAGATTGTTGGCATGACATTTTCATTGTGCTGCCTTTCATGACTTAGGATTTATTGAGGTCAGAACTCGTGAAATGATATCTGGAGATTGCTGATAACTGACAGGTTGTCTTTTCTTAGATCATTACATCAATACTGAAAAGGACATATACAGGGGAAGGAATCATTTTATCCAGCAAGAGCCACTGACATGTAGGGAAAGAAATGCAAGCACAGATGACTTAAGAGACAATTTAAAAGTTGGCGAATGTACATTTAATATTTATATCACTTGAAACACTTTTAACAAATTTGTCTCTTTAAGTAATCTGTGGCACAACTGATAGATAGTAACCCATACTTGAATCTGATACCACCCTTTCAATAGCAGGCCACATGATTTGAGTTGTTTTCCAGGATGTGTTTAGCTTAGATTTTGAGTTGCTAGGGAAAGACCCAACTCAGTCCAGCTTTAAGCAAAATAGAAGTTTATTGCTTCAGGTAGCAAGCAAGTCTGAGGGCAGAGATGGCTGGATCCTAGGCCTTAAATGTTGAGATGTTGTGTTTCTCAATTGCTTAGTTGTCCATGCCTTAGCTTGCTCCATTTTTGGCTCTTTCCAGTCCTTAGCATAAAATGATTAAGAAAGCCATAGCTCACAATCCAGAGTAAGAAGGAAATACACTTTTCCCCTCCACCCACCTATCTTTCAGAAAAATTCTGATGCACTCCACTAGTGTAAAGAGCTCACTTGTTTGGAACAGTCACTGTAAACCAGGGTTTCTCAACCTGGACACTTCTCACATTTGGGCTGGTTACTTCTTAGTTGTGACAGACTGTCTTTTGTCCATTGTTGGATGTTTGTCAGCATCCCGTTGGTTGGCGGTAGCACCGCTCCTCTTAGTTGTGACAACCAAAAGTATCTCCAGATGTTGCTGAGTGTTCTTTTGGGTGGGGCGGGTCGGGGGGAGGCGCATGTGTGCAGCAAAATCACCCCTGGTAGAGAACCACTGGGGTGAACTGTAGTGCTCACCACAGCTACATGCGATGTGGTACAGGGAAGGGGCTATTAACCCAACAGAAAGAGGGAGGCCCGACCAAACAACAGATTGTCTACCATGTGGTAATTGCTTCTGGTGTTTTCTTCTGCCTTGCACCCTCGCATCTCCCTACTCTTCTGAATTGCCTAAGATTAGGGGCAGTCTAGTATCACTGAACAGACTGACGCTCATTGGCCCAACTCTATGTTCTGTATCTCTCTGTTACATGGTGTGTTCTAAGTTTAAGTTAACTATCAATAGGCCTTGTTAAAAAAATGGAAAGGGTATGTGTGTGTAGACAGAGTTAAAAAGTCATTGAGCTGTACACTTAAGATTTGTACATTTCATTTGCAATTATATCTTAATAAAATTATATCTGTAAAGAAGAACATCTGTGAAACTCCTTGGAAAAAACCTGGATAAGAATATAACCGTCACGGGCGCCTGGGTGGCTCAGTTGGTTAAGCGACTGCCTTCAGCTCAGGTCATGATCCTGGAGTCCCAGGATCGAGTCCCGCATCGAGCAGGGAGCCCGCTTCTCCCTCTGACCCTCCCCCCCTCATGCTTTCTCTCTATCTCATTCTCTCAAATAAATAAATAAAATCTTTAAAAAAAAAAAGAATATAACCGTCAGTAGTAAATGTCTGATTCCTGTTCATGTGGGAACTGAAACAAGGGTAGTGTTGGAGTCTGTTTCAGTGTACTTGTTCACTGGAAGATTTAATAGCAAATTAAGATGGTTCTGTTGAATGCTGTGTATTTTCCACGTTCATAGCATTAATTTTGGTTTATTAATTTCAGTTCAGTTTATAAACAGGCAGGTAATTATAATGAATTTGGTAAGTAAAATGGATCTTTCAAACCAATTTTTATTTTTATGGTGTCACTCTTAAAGATAACTTTTTCCTTTTGGAAATCTAAACTTATGATTGATAAATAAGTGGCAAAGCAGTTTATGGGCATAGAATCGTGTCTTGATTTTACTCCAGTGCAAATCTATTAACAGCAACAACAGCAACAAAAACCCATTTCTGGTCTTGATCTTTTTTTAATGCTCACCATGAATGTTGTTGTCTCTTGCCATACAATGTTATTAAGATATTACTGACTATATTCCTGATGCTGTAGTTTTCATCTCAGTGACTTATTTATTTTATAACTGGAAGTTTGTACCTCTTAATTCCCTCTGGTCTTTATCTTTAAGAAAAATTATTACCTGAATCTTCTCAACCTTTGCAAAAAGTGGAGGAGGAACAAGAGGCTGATGAAGAAGATGTTTCAGAAGAGGAAGCAGGAAGTAAAGAAGGAGCAAACAAAGACTTTGCACAGAATGCCATAAGACAACGTACTTTGGGTCCTTCATTGGCCACAGATAAATCCTAGTTAATTTTTCTTAATATCATAATATTATTTTGGCAGAAAGAGAAGATTGATCATTTCTTTTGGTTTGAAGTGAACTGTGACATGCTTGTACATTGCAGGGTTCAGTCTAGATTATCATTAGATTGAACAGACTACCTTCAGAAAATAAAAGTAGCACTACATAAAAACGTTTGAAATAGGATTTAAGAATGGCAATATGATGGTTTAAACAATTCTTTAATTTTTGAAAAATCTGGTGCCAAGCAATAAGATTTGAGTATGTTTGTTTAATAATCGGTTTCAAGTTTTCTGAGTTGAAAATTTACATTTCCCGAATATTGCATTATTGAGGTATTTAAGGAGATTACTTTGGAGAAAAAGATTTCTCATTTGATATAATTTTTCTCAGTTTCACTGTGTGAAAAAACGAACATATTTCCCATAAATGGGAACTTTGCCCATTGTCTCAAGAAATGTGTATTTGAGTGACAACTCTGGTCATTTTAGAGAGATAGTTCAAGATTTCTTCATATTTTTAGATTATGCAACTAATAAAAACTACCTTGTTTAATTACAGTTTTCTACATGTGATAATACAGGATATGCTACTGATTTAGGAAGTTTTTATATAAGTCCATGGTGTTGTCTTGATTCCTATAAAGGTTGGTTACCTTTTTTGTTCCCCTCTGTTCAGTGTATGATTTGTATTTTTCTTAACCATGGGTTACATTTTTCATTTTCCAAATTGGATAATTTTTGGAATGTTTTTCATTCTTTAATAAATAGTCCTTTTTTGTTGTTTCAAACCGAAGTTTACTGAGGGATCCTTAAAATTGAAGAGCTGTCTACTTGATCATTTAAAATTTTGGCCATTCATTTCAGATTTTATATCATTCTGTTGAACCTCTCCTTGAACCATGTGTTTTTGTTTTTGTTTTTTTTGGATATGAAGGTGAGCATTCCTGATTTTTATTTGATGTGGAAAAGCCTTGGTATTTTACATTTTCAAAATTCATAGAAACTTAATTTGATATAAAATAAAGTTAGCATTCTACTCAGGAAAAAGTATCTTATAGTGTATGTTTTCAATGTATATTCATCACGCAGAAAGTTCCTAATTAATTTTACACAGTCTGTATATGCTTGATGTTTAAAAATCACAGCATTCTTACGTTTTTGAACACACAAAATCTGTATTCTGCTGTACTTTTTTATTGTGTAGTATTTCATAGGTGGGCATCAGCAGGATGGGACATTTAAAATATTTTTACTCCTCAGAGAGTTAGAGCACAGAGTTTTCACCTTACAGTGAAAGTAGGGAGGGTTGCTGGGTGGCAATAAGAACTGTATTACCTACAAGAAGGGAAAAAACCATAACTCAGAGTGAATCCCTTGTCCATTTATGTAATAGACAATTTCTGTAATGTCCCCTTTTGTCTAGATTCTGTTGCTGTGTGAATCCATTAGACTTATGCAGTATCATAATGTACAACAGTTTTCTTGAAAGGCCTTGCCTTTAGAATATTAAATATTCTACCATTGAAGAGTTTTGGATGTATAATAATTCTGTGATGCTTTAGAAAAATAGTCTAAGCACAAAATAAACTTTTCTAAGCACTTCACTCAAGCTGGAGACAAGTGTGATTTCTTGTTGCATATTAAGAAAAGCTTAATTACTTTGTATTTAATGATGTTCAGATGAATAGTTATGTCACTGTGTGTGTTCTTGATCTGCACAGTCAAAAGGCTAGAGTCATACACATCTTTTTCTGTTACTTGAGATGATAGAGGAAAATAGTACTTATTAATCAGGCATGCTATTTTCTAGTGTTCTAGTATACACGGCATAGATTTTAAGTTTCTAAGTGATTAGGAAATAGTATATATGTAGAAAATTAAAAGTAGCCTGAAGAGGTAGAGACTTGATATTTCAGAAAAGATAATATTGCATTTCATAAGGACTCTTGCATCTCTCCAGTGACTCTTCAATCACCCTAGACATCTGAATAAACAGTTTTCTGTCACACCAGCGGCGCACAGAAACTATAGGGATCGTTTTACCTTTAACAGACCCCTTTTGTTTCCATTATTGGGTTAAGGGTACTCTATATGGCAGAGAGATTAAGGTGCAATATCAGCGTCCTAGAGAACTCTGCTCATCACTGCTCCCCACCCCCCCCACTCCCAGTAATTATTCAGTGCTTCCATGGAGGTGTAAAATCTGATCACTCCAATGGAAAATGCAGTTCTACCACATACTGAATAGATACTTAATGAGCAAGAATGACAAGAGTTGTAATGAAGAATCCTGTGTATATAATAGTAGCTTCCATTCACGAGGGTTCTTTTTTCTCCACATATTGGCCAACATTTATCTCATCTCTGAGTCTAGTCATTCTGACAGGTGTAAGGTGATACCTCATTGTGGTTTTGATTTGCATTTCCCTGAGGATGAGTGACATTGAGCATCTTTTCATGTGTCTGTTGGCCATTTGGATGTTGTCTTGGGAAAATTGTCAGTCCGGTCCTCTGCCCATTTTAATCGGATTATTTGGGTGTTTTTGGTGTCAACTTGTATAAATTCTTTAATATGTTTTGGATATTAGCCCATTACTGGATAGATCATTTGCAAATATCTTCTCCCATTCAATAGGTTGCCTTTTCATTTTGTCGGTGGTTTCCTTCACTGTGCAAAAGCTTTTTATTTTGATGTAGTCCCAACAGTTTATTTTGCTTTTGTTTGAGGAAACGTATCTAGAAAGTGTTGCTAATGCCAGTGTCAGAGAAATTACTGCCTATGTTTTCTTCTAGAAGTTTTATGTTTTCAGGTCTTACATTTAGGTCTTTAATCCATTTTGAGTTTATTTTTATGTATGGTATGAGAAAGTGGTCCAATTTCATTTGTAAATGATGCTTTTGAAAGCAGTTTTCTGTCAAGTGTGTCCTTATTCAGCCCAGTGCATCAAAGGCATAGTTCTGGATGCAATTACATTATGAGATTAACATTAAAATAAACATTTTGACTCATTTTAGGGTTACCCAGGATATTCTGATCCATCACAACGGTTAAAGGTAGAAATCTTTCAATAAGTTATTTTTTCCATTTTGAGGTATGATTGACCAAACAAATTACTTTTGTTAGGGCTCTTTTATTAATAAAATAATTGACCTGGGGTGGAATTTAAATGAGTGGTCCTAACAGTAAATTTACAATTGTCAAAGTAAAATTTTAAGTATCTTACTTGCAGATTTAGATTTGTATTGTATATCTAGCAACTTTTGCATTTGTTTTAAAAACCATTAAAACAAGAACAACAAATTTAAATTGGAACTTTGATAATATATAAGTAGTAAGGTCAAATTCAATACTTGAACAGATCTAAAATATATCCTTTTTTTTTTTTCCCGTATCATTATTTTTAATGTCCAGCATTTACAATACGAGGGCCAGAGCTTTCTCCCCAATTCAAGTTTATAAATTCTCAATTGGCTTGTGAGGCCAATAGGGATACTTCTTGTCTAATTTGGTTTCTGGGAAGACTTCATTCAGGTCCTCAATGGTCATCTGATCAAATGGAATTATGTGCCTCATCTTCTCCAGCTCTTTTTCATATTCCTCAATCCTGGCCTTTGAGAGAGACATAAACTCGGCACAACTTTTCACATCTTTTTCTTCAGCATCCACCTGAACAGTATATTTATCCTCTGGCACAGGAACCTTCAGGGCATTAAACTTCTTCTCAAAGTCATCTACCAAACCAGCCTTCGCCACATTGGCCTTGTAGTAAGCCCAGTCGATAGCAGGTGGTTTCTCAGGGAGAGCAGCCAACCTGGAGGTAAGTGTCTCATTCCAGGATTTCAGGGAGTTAGCAATGGCCTTCTGGTTTCAGGGTATGATCTCCCCAAAAGCTACCCAGTCAATGGTTTTTAGAGCAAGTTTTCGCACAGCCATCTTGAGATCCTTCACCGACCCCAGCGGCCCATATATCCTTTCTTTTAATGATTGTTTCTTTTGAGTCATTAATTACAAATGGCAGTAATATCAGTATTGTGGCCATTAATGAAATCAGCTATCTCTCTACCTATCTGGCTGTGTGTGATATTATTTTTACACCTATTTTGGTTGTGTTTTGATAACTCAGACTGGTTGTATCCTGAAAATGAAAATATGAAAAATGAAAATGTAAGAAGTCAATTAACCAAATAGAGGTTAGATTCTCTGAAATTTCTTTCAAATCTAAATTAAGAGTCAGTTTTGAACTGAGTGAAAATATACTTAATTTTGAAGAATAACTTAAGTATTAAGTACTTTTAAAAAACTTTCCTAGGTTCAGTGTTTTTAATACAGCAAGTCACAGAAATAAGGTTGCCAGTGGATTGGAATATATTAAGTTCAGTACTTAGGAAGATTCAGCTTATTGCTACCTGGGCATTCTGAAGAAAATTTCTCTAAACTTCAGATGTTTCTGCTTCCACAGAAGCATACATACTGTATACTTGGTTGGAAAATTTAAATGTAATCAACTTTATCTCCCCGCCCCAATGTAACTAATACTCCTGAAACAATTTTAACAAATCCTCTGTTGTTCTGTGAACATGTTTCACATTCCATCTGTTGGTTTAAGAGTCAGCTCAAATCCCTTAAGTCCTTTCTGGCCCACAATTGTGGTTTTTTTTAAACTAAACTAAAATGTAGGTTTTCATCATTCCCTGGCAGTTAAATCACATTCTGTCTTGTAATATTTCTTCTCACATTTATTATACCAATTAACTGAGTGACACAGAGCAAATCACAGTACATCCCGTGGCCTCAATTTATGAGTTAAGTGATTTCTGGGGTTCTCTGCCTTTAACAAGATAGTCACTGTATTCATAAATTGTCTCTAAAGCCTGATTGTCATCACCTTGAGCCCTGGAAATAGTTTGAAACAAAGCATACTGTTGTGCGGAGACTTGGCAGAAGTCAGGAGACCTGGCCTCAAGTCTTTTCTCCGCCCCTGACTAGGAATGTGACTACTACCTCTCTCCACTGATTTTTCATTTTTGTGAAATCAGTGTAAGTCGAGTAGTATAGTTGTTGGATAAATTACTTTGAGGAAGTTCTTGAAATGAACAATGAAGTTATTTGCAACTTTAGTTTCCTGGGCAGGTTTCCTAGAATATTAATGCCATGGGAATGAAGACAGTTGAATAGTCAAGTTGTTCTTGTTGACAGTAAACTGTGGGTGTCACTAGGCACCAACTTGGGTCTTCCCGTCTACTGAGATGGGGGAACAGGAAAAGAAAAAGGCTATTCTGCCTTCACTATCATTGCAAACACTGATGCCTACTCTACTCTCTAACATTCATGTCCTTCACATCAGAACCCAGATTTTCCATTCTCCATCTTTTTCTCTTCAGCCATGTGCTTCAAGATAAGCTGACTCCCTCCTCATCTACTAGGGTTGAGTTTGGATTATTAAGACACATGTGGTCCAGCTTGAGCCAGTGAGGAGGTAGGGGCTTCTTCTCATAAGGTCTCTGCTTAAAAATAAGGACTCAAAGGAGAGGTCTTTTTCTTTTGGAGTTGGCCATTTTCTTAGAATTTTGTGACCATCTCAGAGCCTGAGGATGAAATGAACAGACAGGAGGGCAGAGCCAAGGGAATCAGAAAAGCAAAGCTAGAGCTTTGCCAAGAGCACATCCTACCTCCAGACATCTTGTTATATTAGAGATAATTTTTCTTATTACCTAACCGTGTTGAATAAGGCTTTTCAGTTACTTGTAACTAAAGTATCATTATGGTTCTCACCTTTCTGGACTTTGTGAACAATGGTGTCTTGATTTGGCCTAACTCGGCTCAATTCCATGTAATTTTCAGATTGCTCACCTCAAGCTATGGTTTACTTTTCTTCCTGTGACATTCCAAGGTCAGGAAAAAGAGTTATCTTTATATATGTGGTTGAAACTAATGGGATAAGTCAGTTGTACTCTAAACAGACTTGGTAGTGAAAGGTTAAGTGAGTATAGTTTTCATTTTGGGGAGCTATATTTTTTTCTTTAATTTTGCTCACATTTTATTACATTAGTGTTAGGATCTGTAAGCATTAGAGGTGAAATCCTGGAAGCTAAAAATAGTGTGTTGAGTGTAAGTATAGCTAGCTATTTAGTGTTAACTCAGGCTTTGAGCCTAAAATAGCCTTGTTTGGCTTGTAAAATACTCTTTTATTTGGATTTTGTGTTTAGTGAGCAAATTTCTATTTTCATTTTTGACAGTAACTTGAGTTTTCCACTGAGGATGAGAACAATATAAGTTTGAAGATGGTAAAGAAGGAATTATTTTGCCAATCTGTCTCATTTGAGGAGGAGCAAATAAAGGATGAGGTAGTAAAGGGTGAAGTTTGTTTATGTCTTCTGGAATGTTTCTTTTCTAAGTTTATTGTTTGTTTATTACCAAGATTAAATGAAAATGTGAAAATGTCAATCATAACTTAGCACGTGCAAACAGCTTGATATGGAAGGTTTCTAATCTGATGTTTATGAAAGGGGATTCCAGCAAATAACCGTACTGCTTAATAGACTGTAACTTGCATTGTAGTTTGAAAAACCTGTCAAGAATGCACTTTTTTTGAAGTGCGAGCTCCTTGT